TGAGCAAGGTATATTCCTACCCCTAAATTTGAAAATGGACATCATGCGTACATCCTTCCTCTTGTGGAGCATTCCAGACAAAGGTATCCATCTTAAGATTGTGGTATGGGTGGATGATTAGTTGCCTCATATGGAATAGCTAGTTTACATAATGGAAGGATTGGTAGATTGAGTACAGAAATGGAGGTGTTAGTTCCCCTTGGCCCGTGGAACCTTGGGGCATAAATAGGGATAAAATAGGCCACTAAGGGCTCTCTCATCAAGCAATTGCCCCTTTTCCAATTAACTTAAGGGGAGAGAAATAAAGTGTGCTACAGTTCCTTCGCTCCTTGGGTTATATGCTCGGAACTAACACCTTGGCCCGTGGAACCTTGAGGGATAAATAGGGATAAAATAAGCCACTAAGGGCTCTCTCATCAAGCAATTGCCCATTTTCCAATTGGCTTAAGGGGAGAGAGATAAAGTGCGCTACAATTCCTTCGCTCTTTAGGCTATATACTCGGAAGTTGCTCTGTGGTTCGGTTTTGTCACTCCCTAGCTCCATGCTTGGGAGTTTGGCTCCTTTCTTTCGTTTAGTGGCCCAAAGCCCTGAAACTCGGGTTCCACACCACTGTCCTTTGGACACATGGCATTTATCACGTGGCATAAAGAGGGTTTAGGTTCCGCTTCATGGTGTTATCCTATGGTAAATCACTATAGAATAAAGGGTAAAAACTATATGCGCTACATTTGGTATCAAAGCAATATAAGTTGTTGGGTGGAAGCACAAAGTGATCATCCCCCCCGGGGGGGGGGGGGTGAGGTACAAAAGAGTATAGTAGGGAGAGTTCGGGGGTTGGACTCTAGTGGAATTAGTTTGGCCAAGAAAGGCTAGTGTGGCTAGAGTGAATATAGACAAACAAACAGGCTAACTTGGTAAAGTGTTCAAAAGCCGACTCTAACTCCCTTGGGAAATCAAATGGTTGATGCTCCCAATGCAAGTATGGGTGGCACTACCTACTTGGATACCTAATGTGGCTTATTAAAACCTCACTTTAGCCACTTGGCTAATGCACTCAAAGGCGGATGGTGGGGAAAGTACCTATAAGGCTTGTGCAAGGCCATGGTGTTTCGAAATATTATCACAAAGTCCCAGACTAAAGAAAGGAAAAGGAACAATCCTTTTGTATGGTGACCAAAGATGCGGTTATGTGGCAAGGAAATCTCAGAGGCAAGTGGGTGATAGTGGTCAGGTCTATGGGCTTTGACCCAGTGGTAGTGTTGGCAAACACGGACGTGGACAAAAAGAGACTTAGTGGGACTAAAAAAAGGTCCACAAGTGCCAAATCATGGTGACGTCTGCAATATTTGGAAACTATGATCATTTGAAGCATCCTGCAAGCTTGAGTAGCACAAGCGCCAGAATGGTCTGCTTCGTAATGTTTGTGCCACTTTGGAATTAATCTGGCACAAAGATCCTGGTGTTCGGAGAATAATCCACGTCCAGAGCAATGCATACGCCAAGCCAAAATTCCAAAGATGCTACTCCACAGGCTCGGGTCACTTCTCTGGATCGATGGCAAGCTGTGCTTGGCGGTGGATCCTATCCAGATACTAGAGATATTCCTCTGGAGGAGCAACGACACCATGGCCATCCCCAACCATTTCCAACGCTGGGATGCTTTTGAGGAGGCCAAGGCTGGCAAGATGGAGTTCATGGTCTAGTGCCGTACAACAGCACTGCCAGGATGTTCTCGTGGCTGTGGTTCAACTCACCCCCGACATATATGCAGTTGTGCGGGACAGGGTCATCACCGGATCCGTATGTTCCAAGATTGTGAGAGGCAGAACATAACCAAAACAAAGTTCTAGTCTTAGACTGAAGTGGACCTACAATAAACATGTTTATATGCCACTGTGGAACATATGTATAATCAAGTGCATGCAATGCATGAAAGAAAAAGTACATTTTAAAGCCGAAGCTGTCCACGCATTTTAGCTTTCAAATCTCTCCATCTTGTGTCTCATCTTTCTTGTTTCTTGCCCTCGTAACTGACAATGCACTCGGGAGGCCATATAGTGGTATGATCCCCATCTCCGACCAGCATGACAACACACACAAGTTCGAGATGCCTCTGAAAGCCTGGGGCTCATCACCACACCTCAAGGAAGACGCCCAAAAGTTGATGATCAGGGTGACGAAGCATCTAGAATCACCACCGCAAAGCTTGCTTCTTGGAGCATAGCAACGGGGAGCGACCAAACTGGACTTTTTCAGGGCCCAGTTCCAGGTAGCAGCAACAACGCTTTAGTGAACTTGATGAGCTGTGGCGCACTTGGATCCACTTGGAGTTATGTTGTAGATGGATTGCGATTGAATCCAGCCATGTTTTGGTAGTTGAAGGCCTGGGATCTCAAACCAGTTTTTAAATTGATGATCGGCTCCTCCCTGCTTTACTCGGACAAACTCGAGCAAAGTGTTTTCGACTGCGTCAAGCTTATCCAGCTTCTAAATCACCAAGGCTTGCGCCAGGGACCTGGAAATAGTTTGCGCCACGCATGCCAGTGCTGCGTTGGACCGGTAAAATGAAAATCAAAGACCTGATGCTGCTTGCCAAAGATCGGAAGGGCGGGGAGAGCTCTCTGCTGATGAGTTGCAAGACATGGGCTCTACTACTTGCTGGTCAGCTTTTTGCGAACTGCTTGAGTGACGTAGTCGATGTAAACCTGAGTGACAAACGGATGTTAGAAAGGAAGCTCTGTACAAATGAAAGACTTACATTGCCGTCGTATGATAAAGATGCAAACACCCAGGGGTCTCTAGCACTCCACGCGATGCCTGATTGACAAGCGGTTTCACAAAAGGAAGTACAAAGTGTGAGAAACAAACCGTAAATGCTGTCTTCGTGCTCGTGATGAGAGCGAACAAGGGGATCCGAAATCTTTGGAGAACTCAGAGAACTGAAAAGAGATGTAACAACGAGCCAGCGTTTCAATCGAGAGGTTCACAAACCTTTTAGATTTGCCTTCGGCGGGAGGAGGTACGTACCAAAGGTTCACCATTGCATCGGTGCCTGCGCTCTTCAGCTCAACCAGTATAGGTTGCACATTCAGGAGTGACAACAAAAGCTTACGAGAATCAGTTCTTCGTACCGACGGTTGTATTGTACTCGCAATGTCCTACAACTGAGAAGTTAGCACAACCCGAAGACTTATCGAGGAGCAAATAGTCACCAGTGTGCATGTCCAGGCAGTTCCGATAGTGGCATACCCGACATCCTCAAATCCCATACTCGAACTTTTGAGTCGTCTCCAGAAGTAACCTGAGAAACCGACAGGCACTCGAATCCAGAGGACAAGTTTGATGATCATACTATTGTGTGCTGCCGTTTTGGATTGTAATCCAAGTCACGAACTTGTCCTGCATGAGCTTGATCCACAGTGCTCGCTTCTCTGGAACAAGACACACATCAAGTTTCAAAAAGAAAAAAACTTGCAGTAGGATCTTACCTCATAGTTCGCAGATCCCAGCACTTCAAGGAAGTTCCACACGCAGTGGCGACGATGTCTACGTCGTGAGGACTCCAACAGCCTCCGGCCATCTGCTGCAAGCCAGAAGAGACACGCCCCAGCTCCTGGCACACAAACGCAACACTAGTATCTCAGAAAATCTCGGGTTTACAAACTCTTTACCTTTGCAGGCTTTCCAGACGGATCCAAATCCCAGACATATAAATTCTCAGCGTCGATGCTAACTATCTGGTGATGTTTTCCTTTCGGGAACCAAAGAGTGCTGCAAGGAAGGGAAACATGATCGGTGTAGAAGAGAGAATACACTCTACGTACCATTTGATGCGCTGTGTATGTCCGTCTAGAGAGGCTAGTTTTTGCAAAGGCGTGTTTGCAGCACCCCTTGCTCGCTCCGGTAACTTCCAGATTGCAGCACCGAATTCACCAGCTGCACAACGAAGAATCAATAAGAAACAGGGAGAAAACTAGTAGAAGTTGCAACCTACACCTTACCGGATGCATACACAGTGGACAAGATGCTCACATCAAACGGACAAGCCGAGAGTCCCCAGATCTCGGAAGGATGCGTGTATAGTCCATCGAAAGCTAGAGCTCCGGTCTTGTCTCCAATTTGCAAGAGGTGTATCTACATTCCAACCAAAAGGAAAACAAAACGAAGATAGCGAGCGAAAAAATCTCCACTCCACACCTCATTCTCCTCCCGCAGGCTCAGCGTACCAACAAGAAATCGCGTCCGCTGCGTGTCAGCTACAACAGCCGCGATGCATCTAGCCTGAAGAACAAAAATGATCATCCGCATTGTCAAGAGTCAGATCTGCGATCGATCCAGCGGAAGAAACAAATGGCACCTGGTACTTGACGCCATAGGTGTTCTGCGAGCCTTGCATCGCATCCTCCTCTCCTCCTGCCCTAAAATGATCGTAGAATATTCGAAGAATTTGATACGTTTCGGCTCCACATTTTAGGCACCTTCTCGTCGTGCTCGGGCGCGAGCTGGCGCATCTGGTACAAACGAGAAAATTGTTTCGAAGTTTGCAATGGAAGGATTCTTCCTGGAATACCATGGAGGGTTTCTTCTTGGTTTTCAAGAATAAAATTACAAGTCTTAGAAGGTGCTCTTTCGCGCTTTGAGCTAGAGACCAAGTTCATGAGCACTGTGTTGGATTGTTACATGCTTGACATGGGAGAGGGATTCAGTTGCTCACTGTCGTCCCCGTAAGATCGAGAAGTTTGCCACTTTCATGCCTGGTTTTACTTTCTTCCAGGACACCGACTTTGAAATCGCGGTCCGTTTTGAGGCGGTCAACGCGGTCAAGGGCTGGTAGTCAACGTGAGATGACGCCTCATGACAGATTTTTTATCAACTCGAGGCCACATGCAGACGCCGAATTAACGCTGCTTCGACTGAGGATCTAAAATACGTGGACGATGTACTATAGCATTAGGAAAATCTTCTTAAATTTCTTTGAATCTCAGGTGCTTTTACCTGATCATCTCGACAACTGGGCGCGTACGATCATGGTCTGGTCCGAGCCATTGATGCCATGGGTAATAGCTTTAAGTTGCTCCTTCTGGTTTTTGTCGAAATAATGCTTCTCATCCTCTGCTGCGAGTACGTGCTTCCGAGGGACAGGCCTTCTACGATCCGGACTTGATGAGAAAACCAAATACACGTTGCGAGTTGAGTCGATTCTCATGATGGAATTCGCGACTTGATCCACAAGTGCCACGATCTGGCCAAAAGCTTACATCACCCAGAACGCATGCAATGGAAAGTAAAATAGAAGAGCTTGTTGCTAGTTTGGTTTGAACATGGACTCAAGCAGTTTGCAAGAAGCTGACCAGAAAATAGCCTCGCGTCAGTATCAAACGTAATCGATGTATACCTGAAGGTAGCAAGGGTTTTCTACCAGTAAAAGACATACATTCCCGTCGTATGATAGAGATCTCTTTCACTTCAAGCGATGCCTGTTTGACAGATTAACAGACTGTAAAAGGATGGGACACAAACCAAAGATGCTGTCTTCATGCTCGTGGTAGGATCGGACGAGAGGATCCGAAAGATTTGGAGGGCTCACAGCTGAAAGAGATGTAAGTCACACGCAAGTGTTTCGATCGACAGACCTGTTAGTTTTGCCTTCAGCCGGAGGAGGTACGCACCAGAAATTCACCATTGCATCGGTACCTGCGCTCTTCAATAAGTTGCACATCCAGGAGTGACAACAAAAGCTTGCGAGAATCAGTTCTTCGTATCGATGGTTGTATTGCACTCGTAATGTCCTGTGATCCACAACCAGAAGATACAGAAGTGTGCGTGCCCAGGCAGTACCTGACATCCTCAAATCCCACATCGAACTTTTGAGTTGTCGCCAGAAGTTACCTGAAAATTCCGACAGGCATTGAAACCGAGACGAGAGATGAACAAGCACACTGTTGTGTGCTGCCATTTTGGATTGAAATCCAAGTCACGAACTTGTCCTGCATGAGCTTGGTCCACAGTGCTCGCTTCTCTGAAACAAGAGACATATCAGGAAGAAAAATGCAGCACTTGAGGATCTTACTTCATAGTTCGCAGATCCCAGCACTTCAAAGAAGTTCCACATGCAGTGGCGACGATTTCTATGTCGTGCAGACTCCAACAGCATATTCTACAATTCATCATTGTAACAGGCTAAGGTGATGCTAGTGACAATAGTGTCCAGTTTGGTCGAACCCCAACCGAGTGCTGACGTGGCAAGTGGGTGTGTGAGGGTTCTTGGTTTGTGCCCCAAAATCCGGAAGAGTCACCAAAAGCTCTGGAAAGTAACTCACCGCAAGCCATTCTTGGTATTGACATAACTACTGCAAGAGAAACCTGCCCAAAGGTACCAACAGGGTTTTTGTGGGGAAGATGGGAGGAAACAAGCAATAGGTGTTGGGTGTGAGCATGTTCGGTGTTCTTGTGTTTCAAAGGTTGATCTCTCTTGAGAAACTTTCTCTAGTTTCTTTGTTTGTGTCCATGAATGGAGAGCTGGTCCCTGTTATGGTGGAGATGAGGGGCAGCCACATTGCTGAATGCTCTCACAAGCAGTGTGTGACTATCCATTCCTGGACTATTTACAGAAGATTGACAATTGCTAAATTAAGCATCATGAGTGAGCAATGTACACAAAGTTTGCTTTGTGTGGCATTGGAAACTTTCAGTGAGAACCTGAAGGGCATTGCTGGAAACTGATGCAGTAAATCTAGGCAAAGGCTTGGCATAACAAGAAAGCTAAACAAGAGAGCTGTTTGAACACTTTGTGCATGTGAGAGGAAATTTATTGTGGCTAGTGTTATAGCATGCTAACAATTCCTTCTTGGGGAATGGCAAATATTGAGGCAAATGCTCTTTAGGTGTAAGGAATGAAAAAGAGAAAATCCCAAGGGTTGTGTTTGCTAAGCAAATTGTTGAAAGGCCAAATTCAATTGTAATGGCTTTGAGCTCAATAAGTTATAATGGCTCTAAATTCTCTAAGGATTGTAGAGAGTTGATTTTGATTCTAGTGGCTCAGATAAGAATGAATGTGACCTTATGTCATAAGTGGATGTCAGCTTGGCTCAGAGCATGGAGGTTTGATTCTATAAATATGACGCAAATCCAAAAATGTAAGAGAGAATAGGTCCGTACATCTTAATTAAGGGTTCTTCCTCTACATTTTAGGGTTCTTGCATTGGGGAGCGCCATTCTTTCGATCCTATCAACTGGATCCCAGTCGGTACGTCTTGGCAGCTGCGTACATTGGGCTCGAATCTTGGATCGCTGCGGCGCTTGCAATCGCATCCGTACGGCGCCGCGGCGTGGAAGCAGGGATCCATGGAAATCAGCCTGGAGCAATTGGCGGTGGCGCCGCGATCGTCATTGTCAGCGAGGAGGAGCCACGGTTTGATCCCGGCCAGGCCCTGGGCGACGTACCCAAACGTGGATCCGGGGCTGGTGACGAGCTCGTCACACATCGACAGCAGTACCATCTCCGCCAGCGCCTTCTCGTCGTGCTCCAAGTTGTCTGTCCTCTGCGATTCTTCGTGGCCTGGGGAGAGAACTCTCACGACTCCATCCGATTCCAGGGAGAAATTTCGTAGCCTCTGGAAGAAGAACCGATCCAGCGATGTCACGAGCGCCGTGGTCTTCGATCTGGATCTGTTCGAGGGGAGATCAAAGAGGCTGTTTTGGAGGAGGCACTGGATCATCGCTTGGGCGAAGCTGGATTGCGAGTGCGGTCGCAGGCCCAGATTGGGCGCGAGCTGGCGCATCTGGATCCCGATCAGCTTGCTCGAGTCCGCCATGGAGGCTTTGTAGAATCTGGAAGCTTGATCCCACACGGAGTTGGATGGTGAGAACAAGTAGCGCCCAAGGTGGTGGAACACGACGGTCTCTTGCTCCGCCGGGAAGAGACAATCGAGCTCGGCCTTGAATCGCGGCACCGCGTACAAGCTGGGAGCGTAGTACTGGCTACTCCGGATCGACAGCCACGCCACTCGATCGCCCAGCGCGCGCTGCTGCCGCTCGCAGAAGAAATTCTCGCCCAGGCTTGTCTCGCTGATGATGTCGATGGAGAGGTGGCTGCCGAGCACCCGATCGAGATCGTCGGCGCAGAAGCGATGATCGAACTTGGGCTTGGGATCGCCGAGCGCGAATTTGTTGAGGATCTCCCGCGAGACTAGCCAGGAGCTGCGAGGGAATGGCTCACAGAAGAGATTTGCCATGTCCTCGCCGGGATCGATGAGGAGCACCCTGTCCGTGAGGAGCGCGTAGAGGAAAGTGGCGGCGATGGACACCATCTTGTTGCCAAGGCCGCTGAAGTTGATCCACACCACGAATTTGCACTCGCTAGTCGTGAGATTCCCGCGGCGATCCCAGGATTGGGGATGATTTGGAGCGCAGCGCGCGTGGAGATCTTCGTACGAGCGCAGTCTTCTCGCGAGGCTTGTAGATGGGATGTTGCGATCGATCGCGGCTGCACGGTAGTATAGGTGCCGCTGGAGCCGGCTCTGGCATCGATCGTTCTCCCGGATGGGCAGCAATCCATGCAGCGATTCTCTATCGCGAGAAGCTCTCGAGGAGGAGAAGTAACAAATTCCTTTGGCTACCTCCCAGATCCGAAACTCTAGAACCAGCAAGTAGATAGAAATCGCGAGAATTCCCGGCACTAGCATTTTCGTCGCGCCCATCCGGCCCAAAGTTTGGTGATCTCCAAACTCCCGAAGTTTGAAATTCCAAAGCAACGAATATTCTCTGATTTGTGCCAGGGTACGGAGACCCCATGCCGTCCGTACGTCTCCGAGCTCTCAGGAGCTATGCTGTGCCTCTACGCTAGGGTTTGTGGCAGCGCAGCGAAGATCCGGGGCGCTCTCCACATCGGTACGTCTTTCAAGCTGCGGGGATCCCGAGCTCCATTCTCCGCGGCGATCGCCTGATCCGGACGGAGCGGCGCGAGAGATCGGAGGGGAGCGACAAGATGGACAAGGTCGCGGGATGGGTTGGAGGAAGCCTGGCGTCGGCATTCTTCGCGTCGCTGGAGCGATCGTCGTGCGTGACCTTGTCGACCACGGACACGGACGACGAGGAGGATGTGCCGCTCGAGGTCCGGGTGGATACCGGGCACCAGAGCAGCGCGTCCTGCGCGGATCATCAGGGCTACAAGCTGGGGCTCGTCGGCCACGACAAGTTCGTGAGGAGCAATCCCATGTCCGATCGCTTCGGTGTTCTTGGCTTCCACCACGTCGAGTTTTGGTGTGGCGACGCCTCCAACACCTGGCGGCGATTCGCGTGGGGGCTGGGGATGCATCTGGTGGCCAAGTCGGATCACAGCACAGGGAATCACACGTACTGCAGCTACGTGATCAGCTCCCGTGAGCTCGTCTTCGCCTTCACTGCTCCTTACTCGTCCAAGAAGGCCGACCAGGAGCTCAGCCAGATGCCACACCCGGGCTTCTCATCGAGCGACGCACGGCGGTTCTTTTCCATGCACGGGCTGGCGGTGCGAGCGGTGGGGCTCCTGGTGGAGGATGCGGAGGAGGCTTTCCGGAAGAGTGTTCTTGGCGGAGCTCTGGCGGTGTTTCAGCCCCAGGAGCTCGCGGACGAGGCCACCGGTGCGAAGGCTGTGATATCAGAGGTGAAGCTGCTCGGGGACGTGGTGCTGAGATACGTAAGCTTGAAGGGATTCTCGGGAGCTTTCTTGCCGAATTACACGCCGGTGGAGAGCCTCCCGCTCACTTCCGGGTTTGTGAGGCTCAGCTACGTTGCGGCGAATGTTTACAACCTTCTCGACACCGTCAACCACATTGTCAAGTTTACGGGATTCCACGAGGTGGCCGAGTATACGACGGACGACGTTGGGACCAAAGACAGCGGCTTGAACACCATGGCTCTTGCGAGCAACAACGAGACGGTTGTTTTTTCGCTGAGTGAGCCGACTTACGGGACCAAGCGCCAGTCGCCCATTCAGACTTACCTGGAGCAGAATGAAGGCTCAGGGATCCAGCGCTTGGCTCTTCAGTGCGACGACATTTTTGGGACTGTGAATGATATCCGTGATAGGATCGATGCTGGTGGCTTTGAGTTCTTGCCAGCTCCTGGTCCCGAGTATTATGATTCCATGCGCGGAAAGGTTGGCAGCGTTTTGACTGAAGAGCAGATACTTAAATGCCAAGAGCTCGGTATTTGGATCGACAAGGACGAGCACGGCATTCTCTTACAAATATTTACCAAGCCCGTAGGAGATAGGTACGTGTGTCGTATTTCCTTGGCACGACCTAAGTTGTTTTCTACGCAGGCCCACCCTGTTTCTAGAGATCATCCAGCGTTTTACTTCGATCGAAAGCCAGAGTTTTCAGGCGGACAAGTTCGATGTTGTTGGGAAGGATAACTTTTCGGCACTGTACCGATGCTTGGAAGAGTATGAGAAGACTCTGGATGCAACACGGCAGATTTAGCAATGTAACTTACTGGTTCGTCGACAAGCAGCAATGAGCTACTCAAGTAAACGCTGTGCATCCCCTTGGACGTTGGGTAGGATCGTTTGATTGGGAGGAGTATTTCAAACTTAAATGCGGGGGTGGCAGTTCAGCGCGAATGAGCAGATGCAAATATGTGTTACGAAATTGAATCAGATGGTAATGTGGGATGTGGGAAGAACAATCAGAAAAAAAGAAAAGAAAAGAAGGAAAGTCCTCTACGGAACTACGCAAGAAGAGAACTCAAGGACTGTGCGGGGGAAACTCATCTCGTACATTTAGCCATTTTTCTTCTTCATTCATCGGCGATGACTTGAAACGTTGGAGAACGAGTATCAACACGATAGTAGCTACTGCGCGACAAAAAAATTCACGAATAATTTGGAACTTGAGCAGCGGCAGGCTGGGACGTAAAACCAATCGGTTTTCGTTCATGCTTTGATCTTCTTGGGAGCTGCTTGGTTGTCCAAGACGACGTAGCTTCCACACCTGGGACAGTGTGGATTCTTCGGGGACAGCATGACGTACATGAGGCAGCTCTTGCATCCGGTCACTATAATTCCAGACGAGGAGCAGTCGTCGCAAGAAGAGGTCCGTTTGTGGTCCAAGTTGGTCCCCTCGGCGGCCAGTTTTGATGAAGAAGAAACAGCTGCTAGATTGCGTGGAGAAGTCGGCTTGCATCCTAAATTCAGTTCCAGGTCCAGGTGCTCTTCCAAGGTGGAAGTCGGGCTGTTGTTTTTCGCGTGGTGAGCTTTGACGGAGGTGGCTCGGCTGCTGTTGCTCTGGAGGAGATCGAGGCAGAGAGACGAGCTCCGATTCAACGAGCCGGACTGTAGGAGCCGGGGATCGTCAATGGTGCTCAAACCGGTGCTACAGTTGACGAAAGTTATGGAGCCAGACTGCGGCAAGAGAAGAACTTTCAGCCAAGAGAAAGGAAGAGGAATGGACAGCAATGAGTTCTTGGTACCTTCAAGTCGAGGCGCTTCTCCCATCCGGTTGGAAGCGGTGGCTCTTTTTCGTGATCCAGATGGACAGTCTCCGAGGATTGGCACGGACGGATTGCTGGCGGAAGCGGTCCCGAGCTGTCGACCGGCTTTCCCATCATCAGGCTGAGGATCTTCTGGGGGTCCTCGCTCCAGGCGTGTGGCTCCTTGGCACTTGTCGTCTTGATCGAGCTTGTGCACAATTCAGCAGCCTGCCAGCCCAGCTCCATTGTTGCAACTGTCATCCGGAAGTGGAAGAATACGAGGCGAAGAGGTGGAAGGAAAGATGGGATAGGACGAAGAAGAAGAAGAAGAAGAAGAAGAGCAGCAGCAGCAGCTATAGATGGCTAGATAGAGTGGAGGAAACGGGGGAGAAGGGAAGAGCACAGGGAAAGGAAGATTAGTATAGAACGAGAACGTGAGGGACGTGCTTTGAATAGCAGCGGAGAAGCGTAAAGGATGCCAAGACTCTCCCATGAGCTGCATACAATGATAAGTAGGCGGGCGAGCTCTTTGTCCGGCCAGCCAGCCAGTATTTCTCTTCAGAAAGGTGGGGTCTGCAGCCCGTGCTTTGCATTAAATGCAGGTATCTTTAAGCAGCACTTCTCAGCAAGTAAGTATGCGATCTCTCCCCTCATTTTCTCCTTGCTTTCCGTTTTTTGCTAGTTGGCTTTCCTGGCTGCTGGTGGTGGTGGTGATTGACTAAGCAAGCAAGTAAGTATGCGATCTCTCCCCTCATTTTCTCCTTGCTTTCCGTTTTTTGCTAGTTGGCTTTCCTGGCTGGTGGTGGTGGTGGTGATTGACTAAGCAAGCAAGCATTCATGCTGGCATTTGCATTTGCATTGGCAGTGATTACATGCTCTTTGTTGAGATCTCGCCGATTTCAATCCCATCATATACTGAAGTCCAAAAATCTCTTTAACCACCCGAAACAGGGAAGACGAGGGTGGGGGGGCCTCTCAAGTGGTGAAGTAGCTTGCATCAAGCCAAATCCACCTGACGCTCAGCGGCAGCAACAGCATGAACGAGGTGAATTATGGAGAGGGTGTGTGGTCCAACAAAGGAAAGCAGCAATGACGGAAAGAAAAGTGAGCGACTTTATCAGGCGTGCATTAAACGTAAGTAGTAGCCAATGCTGGTAAGTATATATTCGGGTTTTCTTTCCTTTATCTTCGTGTTGTTTCCTCCTCCTTGCTTGATTCCGCTTCCGTTTTTGTTTTCGTTATGGTTTGAGTTTAGCTGCATTAAGTTAGTCTAGATGCTGGTTCCTGAGAGTGCGGGTGGGATTTACAGGTGGTTCAGAGGAAGCACTGTTTCCCATGCCATCTATCAATTAATGCTCTCTGACAAGTACATTCATTGCTTTCCAGGTCGCCACCACATTTTCTTTGGTCAGCAGAAGGCGATCACAGCAACAAGCAGGAGAGAATTCGTAACGCAAAGCAGCTTTCGTTCCTCCTAATCGGTATGTTAAAAGCGGAGAGGGTGCTCCTGGCCTGGCTGCTTTAAGCTCGTTGAGGTATCACAATTCCTGGAACTATCTTTTGTTATGATCTCTCCCTTGTCCCTTTTTTTTATTCTTTCCCCTCCTCGACTTTTAGGCTTTTGAGCTTCTTTCTTTATTGCTTTAGCCTTTGGGTTTGATCGTGATGCCTTCACATTCTCAGCAGAATTCAATGCGTCGCGCTAACAAATTTGCTTTTTGCTACATTGCAGCCAGGCATCAAGTTGGGGGACGGGTACTTTGACATTACCTGGCATTTTTCCCGTCTATCGTTTTCCCGCTTGTGCTTGCTGGTTGGAAGCCTGTAAGTTAAGACATATCCAGTTACAGTTACCTAACTATTTCAGCAGGGACACCACCAGCGGACTCGCACTATTTGGCCAGTGCATATCACTGGAAACGTTTGTTTGGAAGCATCCGCTTTTGTCAAGCTTCACGCTTAGACATTTGTTTACCCGCCTGCCAGGAGAGCAACAAGACTTTCGGGTGTCCTCCGAGGACATACAAGCTTGGACTTTCGGAGGTTATTTTATTCTGTTGAGATCATTATCACTGGCATTATCTCGTTGGAGTTGACCGGGTGAGTACGCTTCCCATGTTTTTTCTTTGTTTGATTCGTTTTCTCTTTCTCAAGCTTCCTAAGTGATTTCCTGGTTGGTTTGGTGTTTCAGACTTTGGGCGGTGGTGAATTACACCGTCCAGCTCTTAAGGCACATCCCAGAATCTATAATGGCTGCTGCAGTCTATTTCCTTCAGAGCACACATGCTGAAAAAAAGTACCTAGTGTCGCTCTCGGGATGCATACACCATGCAGCAGCAGTTCATTACTATCTACTAGCGACGATGTACAATGCTTCAATGGTTCGATTGAAAGCTTGGTAGGCCTTCAATGGTTCTGTCTGGCGTTCGTTCCTCTCTCCTCAATGCAGGTGTAAATTTCTTCAGAGCGGCCATGAAAGTTTTCAGGCCATGGAGAGCTTTCAGCCATCGTCACAAATGCGAGGTTGCGTTTCTCTCTTTTATTTGCAATTGTTTCTTGCTGATACTTTATTGTTTCTTCCTTTGTTTTCTTTCTGCTTGAATTGATGCTGACAGATGAACGCTATGATCGAGCAATGGTTGGTAGGACATTTCTCATGGAAGTTGCAGTGGTAAAGTAAGTTGTGCTTTGATCTCCTCATGAACTTTGTAGTATTTTTTCTTCTTTTTCAGGTACGCTGATGCTTTGAGCTGCAAATTGCTCATTGTGTCGGCGTGAAATCAACATCCCACAGGTAAAAAAACGAGCAATTTCCTTCCAAGCTATTTGCTTTTGTGGCCGAGGTAAACTATTAGATTTGTTTCCTCATCCTTGAATGTTGACAGGGAGATGCATTCAAGGAAGGTGTTGGCACAGCAGTTATTGAAAACGTTGAGCAATTCTGTCTGGTGTCTCTATTTGGGATCTTATCCTGTGTCTCTTCTCGCCAGAAGATATATCTCATGAACGGTGTGATGCTTCAATCAGGTTGGTTCTTCCTTTTTTTCCTTGATATTAATTCGTTTTAGAAACATTTTGTTTGTGCATCGGTAGTGTTGCTGGCTGTTGGCATTCTAGCCAGTGAATGCATCCTAGCTGTGTACTGCACTGGTGCGTGGCTGCTACTTGGAAATCTAGGATCATGGATTTCTGTCCATATTTTTCTCTTCGCCGACTTCTGAAACGAAGACCGACTTTTTGAGTATGTTGAGTATGTCATCGACAACTGTTCTCAATATCACAGCACCGGGAAAAGCTACAAACGATAAAACAAAGGTTTTCTGTCAATGTTTTCGTGGTTGGATACTGATTTCTTCCTTGGAACAAGACTCAAAGGATCACGAAGGAGCAGACAATGAATCTTTTATCCAGTCGAATCAAGTAAGAGCATTTAAGTTTGTGGATGTTCTCAAGCTCAATCCCGTAGCTTACAGACAGAGCTAGAGGTCATCGGACTTGAATGGTGCAAGCTTGTTACCAATAAATGCCCCGAACCCCTGCTCCTGTTCTGGCGATATACGAACCAAGTGAGATCAGATCTTTTCTCTTTCCTTTCTTTATGTAACAGGCTCACACACACTATTCACACAGAGCTGTCTATCCACAAGAAGATCGTGATCTTCGCTTTACTACTAAGTGGAGCGAGCTCGCTTGAGGCCTTGCTCCGCTGGATAAGTTCCGGTAGCGGCAGTGACTTGCGAAGGGAGATTGCTGAAGCTGCGAATAAAAGAGGTGGGGAGGCCGGCGTAGAGCTCCACCACTCTCTTGATGTTGTAGTTGAGCTCCTTAATGAGCATCACATTTCGGGAGAGGCTCTCTGGGATCTGGGACTCCTGGTTGACGTTGATCTCCTTGATGAGCAGCCGGTTGTGGTCCAGTAGGAACTGGACCTGGTGGAAGGTTCTCTGGAACACACCCCATGCCTTGCCTTCTGCTCCACCCAAGCTGGACTCCATATCTCCTCAAATCCTGTAACAAATACTTCCAGCTTGTAAGCGGCCAGAAGAACAGAACTTGGGAATGAAAGCAACCCACCTTGACAGTGTTCTTGGTTTCTCTCCTGGATGGAAGACACCGAGGCTCGAAGCAATGGGTTTTCTTCTGCGAGGAAAAACCTTTGTGAGCTCTGTCACTTTCTCGCTTGCCTGCTTTTATTCTTCGTTGCAAATCCGAATGTAAATCCTAGACAGCCCAAACGCATGAGCATTTTCGTCTGAGTGACGAGAATAAAGTGGAAAAGCGACAACGTATGGGCACACCTTTCTATGCCCAGTTCTTGGCTCTGCAAAAGCCAGTTTTATTAGCACGCACTGGGAAAGGAAAATAGTGGCACGAAACATGGACGCCTGGACGAGGATGTTTTTTTACCGGTGCGTCGTGTGCTGGCGGTGGCTTTCGTCTTTGCTTACGAGCCTTTCTTGCCAGATAGGAAGTGCTCCGCCACGATCCGTCTCTGGATCTTCCCCGTCGCGGTTCTCGGCAGCTCGTCCGCGAAGAACGTCCGGCGTGGGAGCTTGAACTGCGCCAGGTTCTTTTTGCAGAAGGCAAGGATGTCTTGCTCGGTGGCGGACTCGCCTTTGTGTAAAACAACGGCCGCGTTCACCTGGAAAAGGAGGTCGTTTAATGAAACACTGCTTCTCAGGAGAAACGCTCTCACCACTTCTCCGTATTTTTCATCAGGCGCTGCAAATGCCACGGCTTCTGATACTGCCGGATGAGCGAGCAAGACGGCATCCACCTCGAGGGGCGAAATCTTTTCGCCTGCACAAAAGCTTTAGAGATGAAAAAAGAAAAGAACAAGGATCACACAAAGACGCACCTCCCTGATTGATGAGCTCTTTAATTCTCCCGGTTAAAGTTACGTAGCCATCCTCGTCGAGAAAGCCTCTATCTCCAGTATGAAACCAGCCGAAAGCGAAAGCCGTCTTGTTAGCCTCGGGATTGTCCTTGTACCCCGTGGTCACATTCGGGCCGCGGATGCAAACCTCTCCCTGCTTCGTCTTCTCCTGCTTCTCGCCATTGTCATCCAGAATAGCCAGCTCTATCCCCGTTGGCTTGCCTACAGTCCCCGGCTTGTGAGGCCCGTGAGAAGGTAAAGGATTGGACGTCATCTGGTGGCTCGCCTCCGTCATCGCATACGCCTCCAAAACCGGAGCCGAGAAGGCCTCTTCCAAGTTCGCAAGCACCGCCGGCGCCAGCGACGCGCTACAGCTCCGGATGAATCTCAGCTCCGGATACTCCGCCTCCGGATTGCTCCTGTGACGAGCCAGCAAAATCTGATGGACCGTTGGCACCGCCGAGTACCACGTAGCTCCATACTCCTTCACGTCCTTCCAAAAGGTGGCGGCCGAGAAGCGTCCAGCGGCTGGGAGAATGGCTGTCCCACCCGATGCCAGCGTCGAGAGCAAGCTACACATGAGGCCGTGGACGTGGAAGAGCGGCAGCACCACCACCGTCTTGTCCGTCACCGAGAGCTCGTAAGTTCCCACGATATTCTTCACGGAGGAGGCGAGGTTGAACTGGGTGAGTGGCACCCCCTTGGGTCTGCTCGTAGTCCCGGAGGTGTGGAGGAAGAGGGCCACATCGCTTCCAACCGGATGTGGGAGATCCAGATCTTCCTTCTCGGAGTTTAGCTCGAGCCTGTTCTTGGGGGTGACTTCCACGATCAGAAGGCCCGTCTCTTCCTCTTTCCCCCAGTGGATTCCTGCCACTGGCAAGCCGAGCTGGTCGGCAGCCTCCTCGGCGCTCTTGTTTCCTTCCAGCCCTGGGATTAGCAGCAGCGACGATCCAGCATCTTGCATAGAGAATCGAAACTCCTCCGGTGTGTAGGCCGAGTTCAAGGGAGCTGCGACGCAGCGGAGCTTGGCCACGGCCAAGAACACCACGACGAACTGCCAGAGAAAAAGAAAATGCGAAATTTCGACACAGGATTGGCCCTATCCTCACGCGCTTACCTCGATCGTGTTGGGGAATGCGAGCGAGACGAGGTCGCCAGGATTCAATCCGGTGCGCTTGAGCTTGGACGCCGTGCGGAGAATCGCTGCCTGGAGCTCGGCGTGCGTGAGGCGCGGGCCGCCGGAGGCGATCAATGCATCGCTGTCCGGCTCCAGTGAGGCGCCGTCGACGAGGAGTTCGATCAGCGTGAGATTTCCATCCGAGGGAGTTGTGGCGGCCATTGCTAGATCGAAGAGACGAACACTACACGTGTCACGCAAGAACCTATGTTCTAAAAGGGTGAAAAGTAAATAAACCCTATGTGACGGCATATACCATGAATATGACAGAATATACTACAACAGCGATTTTAGGGTTCTATAGATTTAAAAATTTGAATGATACTTTTTAGATGCTCGATCGCCATGCGTGCTTGGACCTCGTAGATCCTCCCAATTCTTCCTTGCATGGTCTCCACCCGCGCATCGATCCATCCAATCGATCTCGCCCTGACGCCTTCGCGGGCAACAAGCTCATCCAGATGCACGGCAAGCGCGGCAGCGTCGAGGAGGCGCGCCGCGTCTTCGATTCGATCCAATCCAAGGATGATTACTCCTGGGCGATGATGATTCACGCCTACGCGCGCAACGCCCGCATGGATCACGCGCAGCAGCTCTTCGACGCGATGCCGCGGCGCAACCTCGTGTCCTGGACCGCGATGCTCAGCGGCTATGCCCGGATCGGTCATCTCGAGCGCGCCAAGGGATTCTTCGATTCCATGCCGGAGCACGGCCTCCACTCCTGGACGGCGATGCTCACAGCCTACGCGATCCACAGCCAGCTCCTCGCGGCCGCCAAGATCTTCGCGGCCATGGAGGAGCGCGATCGGGTCTCGTGCACGGCAATGCTCTCGGCGTACGCCAAGAACGGACGCCTCCGCGAGGCGAAGAAGATCTTCGACGCGATGCCCGAGTGGGATCTGGTGACGCGCGACGCGATGCTCGCGGCATTTGCCGACGCTGGGCAACTGGATCGCGCAGAAATTCTGTTCGAATCCATGGAGGAGGCCGATCTTGTGGCCTGGACGTCGATTCTCACTGCGGCAGGAGCCACGGGGCGCGTCGCTAGCGTCAAGAAGATCTTCGATCAAATGCCCGAGAGCGATCTTATCTCTTGGACCGTGATGCTCGATGCATTTGCCCAGAACGGGCATTTGGAGGAGGCCAAGCTCTTCTTTGATAGAATGCCCGAGCACACGATCTTCGCGTGGACGACAATGCTCAACGCGCTCGCCCAGCATAGATACCTCGACGAGGCAAAGCTTCTCTTCGATCGAATGCCACACAGAGATCGCTTCGCCACGACCTCGATGCTCGTCGCGTATGCCCACAACGGGCATCTGTGCGAGGCGCGCGAGATATTCGATTCCATCCACGGCAAATCGCTCGTCCCGGAGACGGCGATGGTGTCCGCCTACGCGCGCGCCGGCAAGCTCCGCCTCGCCGAGCGCCTCTTCGATCAGATGCAAGAGCGCAGCATCGTCTCCTGGAACGCGATGCTCGCGGGCTACTCCCACAATGGCCGCTCCATCGCCCTCTTCGCGGCGATGAATCTCACGGAGTTCCCAGACGAGATGTCGCTGTGCTGCGCGCTGCTGGGTTGCGCCCACCTCGGAGATCTCCATCGCGGTTGGGAGTTCTTCGTGGCTATGGCAATGGATTTTGTTCTAGCGCCGCGCAAGGAGCACTACTGCTGTATGGTGAGCCTCCTGGGGCGCGCCGGGCATCTCGCCCACGCCGAGGAGCTCCTCCACTCCATGCCCTTTGTGCCCGAGGCGCTGGATTGGACGTGTTTTCTCAGCGCTTGCCACGCCCACCGCGACGCCGAGCTCGGGGCTAAAGCCGCCAAGCTCGTGATTGACATGGATCCACACCATGGCGCTGCCTACGTGCTCCTTACCAACACGCATCGATCGAGGGCGCTTAGAGGGCGATTGGATTCTTGTTCGATCGATCAGGTGGATTGAGAATTGATGACTCTCTCGCAGGGAATGACGATCATCGAGCCTAACAACAGCATTCCTGTCGATCGGGATGCCTGCATTGAGCTCATCCAGTCGTGCCGGAGCGTTGCCATGGCATCGATCGCGCATTCTAAATCCCAGCATCTCTTCCACAGCGATTCCTTCGTGAGGAATCAGATGATCCGGGCGTATGGGCGGTGCGGCGACGCATCGCGCGCTCGAGATATCTTCGATTCCACGCCGGCAAACAGGGATCGATTCTCGTGGGGTCTTCTTCTCGCAGCATATGCCCATAATGGGCATCTTGAGCTTGCGAAAGAAACCTTTGATTCCATGCCCCGGCACAACCTCGTCGCCTGGACGACGATGCTAGCAGCGTTTTCTAATCGTGGACACGTGACAGAATCTAAGCGGTTGTTTGACTCAATGCTAGAACGAAATATTCTGTCGTGGACCGCTATGCTTTCTGCATATGCCCAGGCCGGAAATCTGGAAAGCGCCAAGTCCTTGTTTGATTCCATGCCCGAGCACGATCTAGTCGCTTGGAATGCCCTTCTTTCGGCATATTCTATCAACGGGAATCTTCACGGCGCAAAGCGCATGTTTGATTCTATGAAGGAGAAAGACGTCGTGTCGTGGAACGCGATGCTTCACGCATATGCCCAATCAGGGCATATTGATCAAGCAATAGGGATCTTTAAGAACACTCCAATGCAATCCTTGGTATCTTGGACGACGATTCTCGTGGCATATTCACAAACCGCGCTCTTGGATAAAGCAAAAGGGCTGTTTGACAAGATGCCGGAGTGGGATATAGTCTCTTGGAATGCTATTCTGTCAGCATATGCCCGGAGTGGGCGTGTCAAGGAGGCAAAGAGGCTGTTTGATGGAATGGAGGAGAAGGATCTAGCGTCGTTCATAACCATGGTGACGGCATATGCTGGTAACGGACATTTGGAGGAGGCCAAGGTCTTTCTTGACGGAATGGCACAATGGGACATTGTCACGGTGACGGCGCTGCTAACGGCATATGCTGAGAGAGGGTATCTGGAAGATGCTAAGCGCTTGTTCGATGGCATTGAGAATCCAGACCACATTCTCTGGGCAGCAATGCTTAACGCATATTCCCAAAACGGGTATCTCGCTGAAGCGCTAGAGCTCTTTCGAATGATACCCGAGCACAACAATTTCCTCTCCATTGCGATGCTCGTAGCATATGCCCAACGTGGGCATCTAAATCTCGCGATCTCTATATTTGATCGCCTACCGGAGAGGAACTTGATTGCCTGGAACGCGATCCTGGCATCATGCGTCAACAACGGACGATGCGAGGTTGCGGTTGAAAGCTTTCACTCGATGAAGCTCGTGGATCTCCCGGATGAGATGAGCTTCATGTGTGTTCTTGCGGGTAGTGAGCTCCAGTCGAGCGTCAGCTCCTTCCTCTCGATGATTACGGACTTTAACGTCGTGCCGAGCAAGCAGCACTATTCTTGCGTCATTGATCTCCTCGCGCGATCCGGGCACTTGAGCCACGCCAAAGATCTCATCACAAACATGCCATTTGTTCCAGACGCTCTCGACTGGAGATCTTTACTCGCTGCTTGCAAGAGCTCCAACAATCCGGGACTGGGAATCCACGCCACGAAACAAGTCGTGAGTTTGGAGCCTAGAGATTCGTCGCCTTACATGCTCCTGGCAAACTTGACCACCGAAAACCAGGAACTTCTCTAAGATCTCGACGGAGCCGCTTTCATTATTATCCAGGTGATGAGCTGAAACGAGCTCGATCCACTTATGGAGAATCGAAGTGTTGCAACTATCTCTTTTTGTTGATGCTGTTAAGAGGCAAAATTCGGCGAAACAAACAAAGCTTTCTTCTTCTGAGCAATGGCTGGGACATTTTTTTCTCTTCTCCTGTACAAGAGGAGGTGAAGCTGACACTGAACAACATTTGAAACGGGGCCTGGCACATCACCCGCAGGTAGTTGTCGTCCTCCAGCCGGTAGCATGACTTCTTGTGGAGAACTTTGTCCAAGGAGTGGAGTTTAGATTAGAAAGAGAACATCAAACTAACAATCTCAACATCGAAACGACAGTTAAGTCCAGAACACAAGAATACAGGCCGATGAACACAGGAAGTTAATGGAAACACAGACCTTGGATCATTGGTGCAAGCTGGCGCGGACCTGTAGCAAAGTGTAGCACTTAAAAATAAAGGAGAAACAAAAATAAACCTAATTTAAAAGGTGCTCCAGACATTCTCTTAAGACCTTCTGGGACTTGGGAATCACAGCCATAAAAACACTCATCATGTGCACAGTTTGCACTCTCGATATATAGATCTCATCAAATTCACAACCACGTTTCAATAAGTCCAACACCTTAATGTTAGCATTGTATATAAACTAGCTAGATTTTCAAATAGCTTTATCATTTATCAAGGGTGTCCAACTTCACCCTGGCTCAGTAGTTCCACATTGGTAGAAATTCTCTAGGCAAGTCTTCATTTTTATGGCAAAAATTATACACATATATGTTCATGGGATGAATGAATATAACTATATATATAGGTGATCTTAAGTTTAAGTTTCTATTATTATAAATGGTGTTGAGTCAAGTTTTTAACCTCATGCTTAGTATAGATTGGTTGTAACACAATCATGCCAAGTGTGATTTTGAGGTGTCTCTCTTTTGTTTTATACTTACTTATTTTATATTTTTTAAAATTTTATTTTACTTCATCCCTCTACTTTTACTTTTGATTTTATCACTTTTGTTTCTTTATTACTTTTTCCTGTATTTCCATTTTACTCCTTTATACCATTTTTAGATCCTTCAACAATCTTTATATTGTAGTAGTTCATCAAGTTAATAAATAGTATGCTAATCTTTTTTACTTTAACCTATTATCTAAGGCCAAGATTGTAATGCATCATACTATTTCAACTGAGGATAGTTGTCCAATTAAGATTCTTGTTTAGCATCAGTCATTGAAAGAGATCAAAATTTTATGCATAAATGTTAAAGAAATGTTAGAGAAAGGTGTTATCTGAAATTTTCAAAGTCATTGCTCGTATGAATTTCATCTTATGACAAAGTGTAATGGGAGTATTTGATTTTACATTAACCATTGTCCATTAAACAAAGTGATTATCTTGGATGTGTACCTTCTTGTTCATATTATTAATTTATTGAATCATTTGAATTGGTTCACTAAGTTGAATTTTTTTTTTAGATCCTTAGAAGTATTAATAGTTAAGGAAGATGTTCCTAAAACTACTTTTTATATATCATTTAATTTGTATAAATTGTTGGTGATGTTATTTGGTTTAAACAATACTCTAATGACTTTTTAGTGGATGATGGATGAAATTCTTTGCGATATGCTAGAGGATATTACTGACTTCATTAATAATGTTTTGATCCATTTGAAGGGGATATGGGAGAAACATATTTATGATGTTTACAAAGTGTTGAATTGATTGTAAAAAGTTGGTTTAAAGTTGAAGTAATCAAAATATGTATTTGGGTTTAAAGATATAAAATACCATATTACTCATGAAGATTTGTAAGTTGATCTTAAAAAACTTATGGCTATTTTGAAATTCCCTACTCTGAAGTGTGTAAATGATGTGCAATGCTTCATCAGTAAGGTGCAATATCGTAATCATTTTATTGATCATCTTTCTAATTATATTACACCATTATGAGTATTGCTGAAGCTATCAACATTGTTTTTCATTTAGAAAATTTTAAGTAAATATTTATGGCTCTCAATGAGCTATTTACAACTCCACCAATTTCAGCATATTTGAAATTCATACTCAACATTTTATTATATGTGTAGGATGTATTGATACAAAAGAGCACAAGTATGTATAGTTAACATCATTCTATTGATTGGATATGTGTAGTGCACTTTATTTATCTCCCATTAAACCAACTAAAAAAGGGGTAATTACATCTTAAAAGGTTTTAGTGTTTATTTTACCGCCATTTATCAATTAAGGTTTCAAGGATCCATAGTGACAATATATCTAAATATCATCTCATAATTATATATATTACAATATGCAACATAATGTTATTTGGTATGTGCATAGTTACATAATAATACTCATAATACTCTCCCTCATGTTGCAAAAGGATAATTAAAATTAATTGTAATTTCCTATTTATTTGAGTTAATAGTGTTTGATTTAATATTTGTAATCAACTACTAGTAATGAGTATGTCATTTTTACTTATAACTATTTGATTTGTTTGGTGAAAGTTGATACTTTTGCAAGTGTATCTGCAACTATTATTAAATACTTCCTCCTCAATCAAATGGTGTTTTAACATTTTGTCTGGGGTAGATTTTCTCAGATAATAGTCTGTGTTTATGGTTGAGGCATTTCACATTTTACATCTCGATTAGGAATGTGTTATAATTTTATGAATGCTTATCATCCACAAATGGATAGTTTGATAAAACCACTTGTTTAAACCTTCAGAGGGATGATCATGAAGTACATGCATTTATAACATTCCAATTGGGATAATTATTTACCATTTTTTTGGTATGTATATGTTATAGGGGTATAAAGTTCTATTGATGCTTCACTATATAAACTATTATATGATCATGATTTAACACTGCTAACATGAGGTCACTTTTACAATTGTCAAGAGTTGCTAATACTAGGTTTTGGAATTAATATTTGATAAATAATCTTCCACTACTTTGAGTAGAGTTTATTGAACACTTTGGCTATGTATAAGTGGGATAACAATAATGCTATAACTTCTATCATCTTCTAACTATGGAGTATAAAGTGAATAACATAATATTAGTTTCATTTTCCTAATTTTATGATATATAAAGGGGCTCTTTACTTAATGAAAGGGAAGAAATTCTGATCGTTTCCAATCTCTTGAAGGTGGGAGAAGGTGTAAGGCATGTGAAGAAAGGGAGGCTATATGCAACTGGTAAATGTGAAAAACATTGTTCTTGCTTGATTTAAGTTTTTCTCTGCCACTGCTAGGGCAATCCGTATGCAATGTATGATCCTAACAACGAGGTTTTCAATCCCTTGACGCCACCCAACATTGATACGTGAGTAGAGAAGCCATATCCATGAACTCTGAGTGTTCTCTAACTTTGCGTTCTGTGCAGCCTCAACGCAGCATATATTGTCATGCACGAGCCATTTCTCGTCGGGCGGCATCTATCGCTCCCCTGGCTTATTAAACTAAATTTTATAAACTTGTAGTCCAACTTATCACAAATGGTATCCTTTAGAAATTTTATATGTGTAATAATTAAAGGGCTTCATACAAGAGATTAAAAATAATTGACACCATCTACAAATACATTAATGCTTTTTCTTGATGTTTTTTCAAATCTTGGACAATCAATTAAAGAACTTTAACTACCTTCTATCCTTCTAAAAAAGAAGGGATGATATAAGGTTCAAATGTACAATTACAATGGTATATATTAATATGAGTAGCTATTGAATTAGTTTTAATTTGGACCATTTACTGTTATATATAAACTAAGGTATTTAGGTTAATTAAAAATGCATATTTTTAAGCATCTAAATCTCATAATTTCTATATAGAAATTTAATCATGGAGTGCAATCCTAGCATCCTACATGAACAATGAATATTCTCCAAGATCTTTTAGAAATGGCTAACACTCTCTATACATTCTACCTTAAAATGTGTAAGAACCCATTACCCACAATAAAATTGTTTGCCTCTCACTCCTGTAAAACCATTGTGGAGGAAAAATAATTAAATCCACTACCAAGAATGATGACACTTTTTGCTGAGATGGCTTAATCTTATTTCAATTTTGATGATTTGTATTTTGTTAAATATGTTTTAAGTGCTATATAAACACAGAAGCGCAAGTGAAAATATAATCACAAATATATTAGGAGAAATTTTGATGGTTTGGAGGGAATGTCAGTGGGTATCTGGAAGGTTCCAAGCATCTGTTTGATAAACGGGTATCTTGCTGAGAGCATGAGAGGGTATCTGGATGGTTCCAAGCATCTGTTTGATAAACGGGTATCTTGCTGAGAGCATGATACCTTTGCGATATATGCCCCACACGGGCATCTAGATCTCGCGATTTCCACGTTTGATTGCCTACTGGAGTGCGATCCTGGCATCGTGTGTCATCAATGGACGATGTGAGGTCGCGATCGAAAGCTTCGATCTCTCGGATCGTGTGCTCGTGGGGAGTGGGCGCCGGTCGTGCATCTCGATGAACTTTAGCCGAGCAAGCAGCACCATGCGTGATCACACTTGGGCCAGGTTAAAGATCTCATCACAAACATGCCATTTGTTCCAGACGCAGATCCTTGCCTGCACGAGCTCCAACTGGGAATCCACGCCACGAAACAAGTCGTGAGTTTGGAGCCTGGAGATTCGTCGCCTTACATGCTCCTGGCGAACTTGACCACAAAAACCAGGAGCTTCTCTGAGATCTCGGAGGAGCCCGAGTGGATTCTTTCTTCTCTTTCGTTATTATCCAGATGAATGGATCGAACTGAGCTGAAACGAGCTCGATCCACTTATGAAAAATCGAAGTGTGCTGACTGTGTCTCTTTGTGTTGATGATGTTGGGAGGAAAAATTCGGCCAAACAAACAAAGTTTTCTTCTTCTGAACAATGGTGGGACTGTTTTTTCTCTTCTCCTGCAAAAGAGTAATCTCGAGAGAAAAATAGCGAAGCTCTCGAGCTTACCCAGTGGCTGATCTCTTGACGGCCTTGACGCCGAATGGCATTTGAAACGGCGCCTGGCGCATCACTCCGAGGTAGTTGTCTTCCTCGAGCTGGTAGCACCACTTCTTGCGGAGAACTTTGTCCTCCTCGATCTCGTCCGAGTACTTCTCATTCTCCTGCGCGTGCACGATTGCCAGGTTGCTGTAGTTTTCGGCCGACTTCGTGATAAACGAGGTCTCCTCCTCGGTGAGGTTCCTCAGGAACCTGGCCGGGTTTCCAGCCCAGATCTGCGAGGACGAGTAGAATCAATCAAAACAAAGTTTTGTTTCTTCTTTTCTGTGACTTACCTCTCCAGAAGGAATGCGGGTGTTTTGCGTGACCAATGAACCAGCTCCCACCATCGCGCCCTTCTCGACGTAAACTCCATCGAGCAAAGTCGCGCCCATTCCCACAAAGGACTCGTCGTCGACAGTGCAGGCATGAAGCACCGCATTGTGGCCTAGAAACAAACTTCTCACAAACTTTGGCGATGAAAGGAAAAAAAAAAAGAATAGACGTGCTCACCGATTGTCACTGCGTCGCCTATAATCGTTGGAGCAACTTTGCCACTCATGCCCGTTCTTGCTACGTGAACGAGAGTATTATCCTGGATATTTGTTCCATAGCCGACTCTTATCTCATTCACATCACCTAAGTAGCAAAGAACTTAAACACAGGGAAGAACACCAAAAAAAAAATCTCTTTTAGTACCTCTTAGAACGCAGCCATACCAGATGGACGAGCCTCCGGCAACGCTAACATCCCCAATAAGCGTGGCACTGGGAGCTATAAATACATTCTCCATCACTTCCGGCTTCTTGTCGTAGAGATTCATGAGCGTCCGATGCCTATTCACTGCGGCGCGCACCGATCAGTCCCTAGAAATCACTGCGCAGCTAGAACCCTAGCGCGAGAGCCGCAAATATTTCCTGGGAATCGAGTCGAGACTTACATTGCTCCCGGAAGATGTAGTTGCCTTGAATCCTGCATCCCAGCCGGTCCAGCGCCTGGCCAGTCTCGCGAATCCAGAAGCCGATCTGGTAGAGCGCCCTCCCCGCCATCGCTCGCCCGCTCCACAGGCTCTGGAAAACCCCTTGAACCTAGACATTCCCGAGAATATGCCAAATCGGGAATGATTCCGTGCACATTCTGTCAGTCCACAAACGGCGTGCCGTTTGTGGCATATTCTGTTACTCGTAACAGGAATCGAACGCGCGTCATTTACAAAACCGTTTGAGCGGTGACGTGGCCCCCTGGTTATAAGCCGTCTCTCTTTGTTTTCTCGCTCGAGTGCTCTTTTGCGTGAGCTCTCTAGCTCTATAGCGGCGATATTTCGGCCGCCGCGATCGATCGATCTAGCGGGGGGGAGTGAGCGGCGGCGCAATGGCGGCTGGATCCGGATCGCCGACGAGCATTGTGCCCAAGCTCCAGATCTTCATCGGTTACGACCCTAGGGAGCACGACGCGTTCGAGGTATGCCGCCACTCCATCCTCCGCCACGCCACAATGCCGGTGGAGATCACCCCCATCAAGCAATCCCAGCTGCGCGCCAGCGGGCTCTACACCCGGACCAAGGATCCCACCGAGAGCACCGAGTTCTCCTTCACGCGCTTCCTCACGCCCTTCCTGGCGGGCTTCCACGGCTGGGCGATGTTCGTCGACTGCGATTTCCTCTACACGGCCGACGTCCGCGAGCTGGCCGCCCTCATCGACGATCACTACGCGGTGATGTGCGTCCAGCACGACTACACCCCCAAATCGGCCACCAAGATGGATGGCGTCGTCCAGACGAGCTACCCGCGCAAGAACTGGTCGTCCATGGTGCTCTACAATTGCGCGCACCCCAAGAACAGGATCCTGACGCCCGCGCTCGTCAGCTCCCAGACCGGGGCATTCCTCCATCGATTCCTCTGGCTCGACGACGCCGACATTGGATCCATCCCCTTCGTGTGGAACTTCCTCGTCGGCCACAACAAGATGGGCGATGGCGCCGGGCTCCCAAAGGCGATCCACTACACATCCGGGGGGCCGTGGTTTGAGGCGTGGAAGGATTGCGAGTACGCGGAGCTGTGGCTGCGCGAGAGGGAGGATCTCCGGCGCGCCCAAGCGATGATCCACAAGAACGCGGCCGCGATGATCCACAAGGCGGACGATTTGCTCAAGCTGGAGATGGATGGGAAGGCGTTGGAGGACCGAGTGGCGGAGGTGAGCGCGTGAGAGAGATTTTCCCCCCAAATCTAGCGATGGGGAACAAGGATTCTTTTCTATGCTCTAGAATAAGCGCTGTTCTTCGTGTAAAATATATTTATACATACACATTGTTTTGGTCTCTAGTGGCTAGGGTTCCTCGCGAAATATTTCGAGGCGATGACGACGATCCGGCGCTTCACCTGCGCGGATCTCTTCCGGATGACGCACATCAACTTCGATCACTTGACGGAGACGGTAAGCTTGTCCCTCCTCGCAGCGCTACCTAGCTTTGCTTCGATTGGAAGAATGGGATCGATTGATTCTGGCCCTTGTGCTTGTTGCCAGTTTAATATGCATTTCTATCTCACTTATCTCTCGCAATGGCCCGACTACTTCCATGTCGCGGAAGCTCCCAATGGACATCTGATGGGATACAGTGAGAACTTTGTTTTTTTTTTTTTTTTTTCCTCGGAGATGTCTCATTCTTCTTTGTGGCAGTAATGGGGAAAGTGGAAGGCATCGGTGAATCGTGGCATGGGCATGTAACAGCAGTGACTGTAGCTCCAGAGTACCGCCGGCAGCAATTGGCGATGAAACTCATGAACATTCTGGAGGAAGTCACTGAGAAAACGTGAGTTCTTTCCTTTCTTTTTTTTCTTTTGTTTTTCCTGCTGTTTTGCTTGCATTGTTCATTGACGAATGATCAACCATGGTTCCAGCTACAATGGCTACTTCGTGGATTTGTTCGTGAGAGCATCCAATACTCTCGCCATAAGGATGTACAAGAAGGTAACGAGTTTTCTCTTAAAAACCTCCATTGCTCACCGGAAAATCGTTCCTTTGCAGCTGGGATACGTAATATACAGAAGGGTGATCAAGTACTACTCCGGCGAAGAAGACGCGCTAGGTGCGTTGCTTTTCATTTTTTAAGGAGATGGCCTTCTCTAATTTCTTGCGTTTGCAGATATGCGGAAGCCTATGCCGAGAGATGTGGAGAGAAAATCCATAATCTCGCCTAAGCAGATGGTCACTCCAGAGGAGCTGGAGTACGACTAGCAGCTTGCATGACCTAATGCAATAGAGTAATAAAAGATGGCGGCCTTTCTGGGGTATCCGAAGCGGAGGGTCTTTATCCATGCAGCGAGCGAGCAGGGGAGCGATGCGCAAATTCTGGCTACGAAGGTGGCGTTCGTGCCGCCGCCTGCCGAGATCAACGACATTTCGGGTTTGTTCAACTGGTTAGAAGCCAGGCACCAGGTGGAAGATGTGCTTACGGTGCGCGGTTGGATGCGGCTTGCGCAGCAAGAGGGGAGTCTGCCGTCCGAGTTCGACTTGCACGCCAGGAGAGCAAAGCAGGAAGTCGTGCCGACAGGAGTTTGTGAGTGGGGCGATAGCTTGGCCCTCAAAATCGCCCCGTCCAGCATCAACAACGAGAACTATATGCTGCTACAAGGTATAGATCCTACAACAGGTCTCCGGCTGCCCAAGATCCCGGCGTTTTCCAACTATCGCCCTCAGCATGCCAAGCCGCCAATACCCTTGACGCTCGCTCATCCAGTGTTTGCAAGGTTTAAGGATGTTTTCCATGGACAGGGCCAGCAACCGGATAGGAACGATTACAAGTTCTACCTGAAGATAGCAAGTGCGTTTTCAAGCTGTTACACAGATGAAGCGGACTACAAGGACGAAGCAGCTGAACTTTGGAAGCAATACACGGGCATCGAATTCACCAACGAGCTTAATACCGGGGGTGGCACTTTGGGGGCGCGGCTTTTCGCTCTGAAAGCTATTCTGGCAGCACTGGAGGCGAAGTTGGGACCTTTCCGCAGCAAAAGTGATCCGGGAGCACAAGCTCCGCAGTACGTGCGCCTGTGGAAGGGTAACAGGAAACGATTCTACAACACTTGTTACCCCGCGATTTCCATCGAGCAGCTCGGTACTCTTGTCCGGGTGACTGCTGTAGCAACTCTGGATCGCTTCTGCTGCATGCCGCTTACGCCTTTCGTCAACTTCCTGCAACTCCAAGGTGACGATGTCCGAACAGCTGAGCAAGGCGTCCGGTTAATCTTGGCTGTGAAGGTTGCATTGACGGAGCTCGCTGCTTTCTACACCAACTTCGAAAGCGGCCCACCGAGGGACTTGTTCTTCAAGAGGAGCACTCCGTATCCGCTCCAGAACTGCGCAGCTGTGCCGAGACGTTTCGGAGATAAGCTTGTCTACCTAGTGCAGCATCCTGAAAGGCTTGTTGTCGTCAAGTTCGTGCAGCGTCCTTATGGGGAAGACGTTCACAGGGCTTGGGCTGCAAGAGGTTATGCCCCTGAGCTCTACGGGGTCTCTCTGCTTCAAGGAGGCTGGTGGCAGGTCAAGATGCAATATCTGGGAGAGGGTGACGGGTGGAAAGTCTTACAGGCGTGCCCGGATGCGGATGTGCTGAGGCCCAAGGTGCTTGAGGCTCTTGCTGCTGCGCAGCAGATTCCCGTGACTTCTTCTTCAGCTTCAGGTGAAGTTGGCGTTGGCGGTGGCGTACATGGTGACATGAGGGACGTCAATGTCATGGTGCGCCGCTCGGCAGATGGTACACTGGACGTGAAGTTCATAGACTTCGACTGGGCTCGGGCCGAGGGATCGACGTCGGCTTACTACCCGCCGTTTATGAATCACCTGCAGGTTAACTGGCAAGGTGGGGAGGATGGCAAGCCGATGAAGCAGGAGCATGATACTGCTCTGCTGTCGCTGAAGCAAGCGGCCCAGTCGCTCGACGCTATGGCAAGTCCACCATCGAGTTCGTGGGGACCTTTCTAGCCTCTCGTATGCCTTTCAGAGAATTCTGGTGAAGGAGTTTACTCCACTTGCTACTGCTCCGTTAGACTTTGGAATCCGCAATATCCAGGACAGCCTTTACGCCCTTTTGTTTGTCTAGCTATGGCGGCCATTCACGTCTTCTGGCATGATGGGATGCTCAAGCACGAGCCGCTTCGTGGGATCTTTGACTCACTCAGCTGCGCAGGGGGTTTGTTGGCTGTCTTGGATCAGCACCCAGAGAACGCAACCCGGGTCCTTAACATCAAATCCATTCTCGAGAAAGGACCCATCTCTCCTCGGATCGTGTGGCACCAGGGAAGGATGGCAACCATTCAGGAACTTCACCTCTTCCATGACCCAGGTGGGTTTTTCGAGTCTCATCTCATCTCTTGCAACTCTTACTTAGTTTCTCTTATCACAGATTATATCCAGAAGCTGATCGACGCTGACAAAGCTGGTGGCACGACGATCTTTGCTCCTGGAACCTGCTTCAATCCCGGCTCCTGGGAAGCGGCTCTTTTAGCTGCCGGATCCACACTTGACGCTGTGAAGCACGTCCTGGAAGGTAAGTCGAAGCTGGCCTACGCACTGGTGAGACCTCCAGGCCATCACGCGCAGCCTTCTCGAGCCGACGGCTACTGCTTCCTCAACAATGCCGGACTCGCCGTCCAGTTTGCTCTCAGCTCCTCTTCTGTAAAAAGAGTAGCAGTGTTGGACATCGACGTGCACTATGGAAACGGAACCGCCGCTGGATTCTACTCGAGAGACGACGTCTTGACGATCTCGCTCCATATGGATCACGGCCCCTGGGACGAGTCTCACTCCGCCGAGTTCGGGCAGCCGGAAGAAGCTGGCACAGGGAAGGGAGTCGGATACAACGTTAACATTCCTCTTCCAAACGGGACCGGCGATAGAGGATACCAGCACGCGATGGAGAAACTTGTGGTTCCAAGGCTGGAGAGCTTCGAGCCGGAGCTGATCGTTGTCACCATGGGCCAGGATTCTAGTGCTGTAAGAGAGCAAGCTTCCTTTTCAGCTAGCTACTAACATTTTCGTTCTTCGCAGTTTGATCCAAATGGAAGGCAGTGCCTGACAATGAAAGGCTACCGTGTCCTGGGAAGGATGATCCGCGAGCAAGCCGAGAAGCATTCGAGTGGCCGGATGGTGCTCGTCCAGGAAGGAGGATACCAGCCATGCTACACGGCCTTTTGCGTCCACGCGACGCTCGAGGGTGTTGCGGGGGTGGACGAGGCGCTGCTGGACGATCCCATTGCCTACTATCCAGAGGACGAGACATACGCCATCCTCAAAGTGGCCGAGCTCGAGAAAAGACTCCATCAACTTGGTTGAAAGATCCAAGAAAAATGGAGGTACATTACCATTTCGTGATCTAGAATGCAGCGCTTCCATAACCCTCGTGATCTTGTGCGCTAGGATTGTCAGCAAAGATTGCAAGAGCCTAGAACACACCGAGAAGAAAAAAAATACAAAGATTCCAAGTCCGCGCGGCGAGAGCTTATTCCACAGGCAAAATGTGGCCAAAGAGATCTTACTCTCTCTCTCTCCCTCACGCCGAGGCCTCCGCCGCCGCCTTGGACTCCGCCGGCGCTGCCTTGGCTGCCGCCGCCTTGGCTCTAGCTTCTCGGGCCTCCCGGGCTCCGCCGACCTGGTATCCCCCATCTGGGCGATCCTTCTCCTCCTCCCAGATGCCGCGCTTGGGACCTAACACCCACGCCCGGGGCAGGGGCATCTCGTCGATAAACTTCTTGACGAACTGGATGTGCTCGGGGTTGTGGGGATCGTACTCGTAGTCGAGCTTGACGGGCGGCGCGACGCGGTGGGTCTCGCGAGTGTGGTACCTGATGTCGAAGATGCGGTCGGGCTCCGTCTGCGGTATGATGGGCGTCACGTCGGGCGTGGCGGGCGACATGCGGCGGTACTCAGTCGCCTTCTGGTTCGCCTCCACGTACTCGGGGTGCGATGTCGGCCCCGTGAACTCCCACGGCTTCTTGACGACCTTACGGATCATCTTCCATACCGTCTTCCCTATCTCCTGGGCCTTCTCCTTCATCGTCTCTCTCTCTCTCTCTCTCTCTCTCTCTCTCTCGCCCTCTTCTCTCGCCCTAATTATAAATCTTCATAAAATATTTTAATCACAATGCAAAGGTAACGAACAAATAATAAAGAACTATGGTGGTGCAAACCATTAATTTAAGTGTGTCTTACATTTAACAATAATGTAAATACTCTTTTCATGTAAAAGGATATTTCTAAATAAATTAAATATTTAATAAGAATAATTATCATTCAATACACATATGGCCAGGGCTCCAAAGAAGGATGGCATATCATTGCTATATCAATATATTGATATAGTTAAATTCATTATAAACTAGGTAAAATTTAATTTAAATCTCAAACAATGAATATATAATTGCATAAAGGTGCATCTTTTATTTACAGATGTGTGGATATATATTTTTTCAATTGCACACACTATTATAATCTATATAATCACTATAATAGCAATCAAAACATGATTATGTATGCATTATAATATTTGCATTGGCCATGCTATGCATATAGGGGCCATGCAATGTGAACACTTCATCCATGTGTGAAACCATGTCATCCCCTGTTTTATGACAGCAGGATTGCATGCTTCCAACATGCTATACACCACAATCTTTGTCAATCTGTTAGTAACCTTATTTACTGTATATTGTTGCTGTAGGATTTTACTCCTCTAGATCATTCTTGGTGTAGAGCTTGAGTGCCAATTGTAATATGTGTGGCATTTGCAATTCTTTCTATTATGAGGTAGAGATTGGTGAAACTCTAGATCAACACCCAACTGCATTTAACTGTTGAAACATTGCAATTATATGCTCAATGCATTAAAAGGCTTAATCACATGCTCTAGTGCAGTAGTGGTGTCATTGAACTGGCATAACTTGTAGTGGATAATAACTAGTGCATGGAGGCTTATGGCCAACATTATTTTAGCAGGCAATGTCTATAATGCTCGGTTTAAGTGCATTTCTAATCCAATTGAATTTCACCATGCATTTTTGCCATTTTTGCCAAACTTAAAAGGCAAAGAAGAAGATGCTTATATAGCAAATAAACTGATGTAGATTAGGAATTCACATATGGCTATGTATGCTAATATATATATATGCCTTGAACAAAAGGTAATATCCAAAAGATTATTTTATAAGTCACATATTGTGTTTAAACAATTCAAGCACACATGTCTTTTAAATTTATAAATCTTACAAGATAATAAACTTTTTTGCCAAGATGCCCACATTAGGTATACCTCCTTTGGGAAATATACCTCCCCCCAAACATGCAATCACAAATTTCTTGTTATATGACATGGCAACACAAAGTTTAATATTTATCCTTTATTATAAAATTGAATAAAGTTTTGGTTTGCTTAACCAAACCTATGGTAGTGGATATACCTAAGATATGATTGAATATTCTAGGATATTCTACCATCTTATTCATTTAGATTAATCTTGTATTTATAATTTATAAACATGTTTATAACTTATAATCTTTCTTAAACCCTTTCAAGGATATTCTTTTTTATATTACATCTCAATAAGATTAATCTTGTGTTTATAAATTACAAAGACACTTATAATTATAAACTTTAGTTGATCAATTGAATTAATAAGTAAAAATAACACTACTATTAAGCAAACCAATGCTTAAAAATTTATTTATTGTGATAGGTAAACTTAATTTCAAAAGAATTAGAGAAAAGTTTAAGAGAAAATATGATTATGTGCATTATAAAATTATGTAAAATCGAAACAAAATATATCTGTATATATGTAAATAAAGGATGCACCTATGTGCAATCACATATTTATTTCCATAAACATCTAAGTATTGGACATTGCCATGCGTATAGGGCATGCCACATGCACAAACACTTTATGCCACATATGCAACCATGTCATCTCCCCTCTTTTGATAGTAGGATCATGCACTTCTAGCACACTAGAAGGATAAGTAATAAACTTATATATATATATAAATTTTTTAAAGGTTTTCTAGTTTACAAAACTCTTATAAAAGAAATTATATATAAGTTAGTAAGATGGTAAGAAATAAAACTAATGTGATTCCTAATCAAGGGAATTACAATATGATAATAATGCTAATAGTTATCCATTCTAAACAATTAGAAGATCCATAAACCCTTTATCATAATTTTACTATTATCTAAACTTTAATTAAATTTAGAATTAGTGTGAAATATAAAAATATTTTAAAAGTTCTAATTAAGAAACATAATAAACTTATTCTATTATTTAAAATTATAGAAATTAATTTGTTGATATCAAGTGTTTCTAATTATTTATAAAACAAATACTTAGTTATTCTTTTTTAAGTACTTATAAACAGTATTTAGAATCTTATCTATTTTTTATTTTTTACACTTGATAAGTTTATTTGATTATCAAGGATGATATGAGTCTAAATAAACTCTTTTGGTCAAATAATGATCAACCCCAAAGTGGTTGATAGTGATGCTAATTTATTTGCACATAACAACATTGAAATAGATTTGACAAAGTTTTCAATGATGATCCATTTTATGTAAAACTTTAATTGATACCTTAGAGTTGCACATTGAATTTTGGAAAAGGTCTTGCTATGGTTTGTTAGTTTAACATTAGCACTTGAAGTAAATTATTGGATGGAAATAATTGAGGTATTGACGTTTTTAGCACTTGTGTTAGTAAAAGTGGCATTATTATGTTGAGTGATGAAGAATTTTCCTTAGAGCTTGATTTTTCATATTATTTTTCTTATTAATGTTTCAATTCCACATTTGATCTTAAAGATGATTGAAAAAGATTGTTAATGCAATATGGATATCTGAAGTTATGGTTTTTGTGATTAAGATTTTGGATATTTATTTTGTATTTATGATGTCAGTTTTAGATATTGAGTATATAGGCATTTTGGTAAACGCTCATGTATTTTATTAGGTCATGAGAACTTGTGTTGAAGTGAACCTATATGAATTTGTAAGTAGGAGGAAGTTGATTGAGTCTTGAAAATTTACATTTCTAAACTAAGAGTGATTCTTTCTTTAAGTTGGAAAATTTTCTACAAATTTTTTTAGACTTTTTCAATGGTTAATCTATTAATCATTTTGCTTGAAAACCATTCTATTTTTGTGAGCCATTGCAAGCTAGTAAAAGGGTTAGAGTTAACTTCAGTTGGATTAAACATTAGTAGATAGTTTGTATGTTGCAGCCTAAAAAGGATGCCAACTTTTAAGGCTAAAATAGCTAAGCTAAATAAAAGGTAGAGTTAGTGTAGAAAAATAGTTGTTGTGCTTTTTTAAAAAGTGACATTTATACCTTTTTTTTGTAGTGTTATGTTTGGTGGCAAGTTGCACTTTGCATTTTATTAAACTCTAAGAGTAGTGAACTTTCACTAATCTTGACTTGGTTTTAGTGGTATTGCACCTTGGTTTGGTTGAGGATGATGATTGTAAGTGACTAAATTTTTCATTCTACTTTAGTTACTTAACCATACCTTTGACCATTTGAAGAAATTTCACTCACAACCTTCATAAGTTCTATTCTTGACTTGAAAACATGCTAGCCCCGTGAATGGCATCTATGCCACTCAACCATTTTACTTAGTCTAAATGCTCCACGTATTTGATCCCATGATATACACCTTAAAAGTACCATTGACAAATCAGCCCATTACACTAAAGTTATATCCATTTACCTTATCTCATTAGTAATCCAAAACCATTTATGCCATAATCTCATCTCTCAAAGACTAAACCATTTATTTATAAGTGGTCATCCTAAAACCACACTTTAGCATCCTTAGGATGTCTAGAGATGTGGGTAACACCCTTTCCCAGTATCCTTTTTTCAATCCCTACTAAATCCCTCTCCATCCACTATTGTGCTCGTTAACACCACCATTGGGTCAGAGTTTGAAGGCTTGACCACTAAATCCCATTGACCTTTGGGACTTCCTCACCACGTGACCATGCCTTTGGTCACTATATAAAAGGATTGCTCCTCATAGTCCAAGACTTTGGGACAACACTTCAAAACACCATAGCCATACACGAGTCTTATGGATACTCTCCCTACCTTTTGTCTTTCAGTGCCTTAGCTATATAGCTAGAGTGAAGTTCTGATGAGCCACGTTAGGTATCCAAATAGGTAGTACCACCGACACTTGAATTGAGAGTATTGACCATTCAATCTCCTAAGAGAATTAAAGTTAACTCTTGAACACTTGGCTAAGTTACCCTGCTTGTCCATCAGTATTTACTCTAGCCTTGAACTCTTTAGTGGTTATATCATCACCTAACACGTGGGTATAGCCTTCTTGGGTCATATTGGCCTTTCCTAGCCAAATTGATTCCATTAGAGTCCAATCCCCACACTCTCTCTACTATACTTTTGGAATGGAAACCCTTTGGAATGGAAAGGCTGAGTGGCATAGATGCCATTCATGGAGCTAGCAAATCCCTAAGTCTAGAATAGGACTTATGAAGGTCATGAGTGAGACTCTCGAAGGTATGATTAAGTGACTAAAGTAGAATGGAAAATTTAATCGCTTACAATATTAGTATTCAAATTTGGACTCGGACTCGAACTTGGTCACGGTCTTGTTCTTAGTTTCGATCTTGATCTTGGACTCTGGTCTTGGTGTCCATCTCAGACTCTTTTTTAGACTCCATCTTGGACTTCATTTCAAACTCCATCTCTGACTCTATCTTAAATTCCATCTCAGACTTAGTTTTTATACTTCCACATGTTATATATTGGTCCTTTCATTTCTTTTTTCTAGAGACTCACTTATTGATCACTTCATGCTCATTCCTTAAGCACTTCATTGAGAGTTCCATTTTCACCCTCAACTCTTCGAGTTGGGGCTTTTAGTCCAAATATTAATATTACATTTGTTTAGCTTCCACTTTGGCCACTACCATATGATACCCTTTTAAGCTCTATTTTGGGACTTAGGGATTTGTGTCATGGACAAAATTCAATAAACAATAAACCATTTTATAAAGTAACCTTATCATGGATTACCATTTTCATCCTTAGCACTAAACCAATATTCATCAATGGTTTGACACTAAAGGCTCACCATGCCTTGCCCATCTTTTAAGAAGCATAGTGTTTCAA